CCCCCCATTAGCCGATCGTCTCCCACACGATGGCTACCCGCCCGGAACCTCCCACAAACCCCGACAACGCGACAGACTTGACCGTGCATGTCAGCGAGCATCCCGAACGCTGGATGTTTTACCTGAGGAATATGGATGGGTACGCGGCCTCTCTGGAGAAGGAGAACGCCACCCTCCGTGCTGCCGCCCGCGATCACGACGCTACCGTCTCGTCCCTTCAGACCAAAATCACGAAACGCGATGCGATCATTGGCTACCAGAAGGAGCAGCTGAACGAACAGAACCGAGAAATGGTCCAGAGAATCACAGAGCTCGAGGTTGAAAAAGCCCAACGCGTCGCCGCTGCTACCCCCACCGAACATACCCCGCCGACCGAACCTACGCCTATCGCGAAACCCTCCGCCGAGGCGCTCGCAGGCACCGCCCCGGGAACTCCTACGCCTGCTCCTTCCTCATATGCCGGATTTACCATCATCAGTGAACGACTCCCAGACCCAGACAAATTCGATGGCTCCCGCGCAGATCTCCGACGCTTTACGCAGCAGATCTACGGCAAGATGATCGCCAATGCCGACCGATTTCCGACTGCCCCTGCCCGTCTGACATACGTTGCTGGCCGACTGAGCGGGAAGGCGTACCAGCTGATGCTACCTAAGATCGCCTATGGACTCCCCCAGTTTCCCGACTACCCCGATATGCTCGCCTACCTGGAAGCGGCCTTTGGCGACCCCGACCGCGTGCAGAATGCGCAGAACAAGCTGTACCAACTTAAGCAGAAAAACGACGACTTTAGCACCTACTTCTCTGAGTTCCAACGCCTTGCCCTTGAAGGAGAGATGTCTGAGGAGGGCCTGACGCCTCTGCTGTTCCAAGGCATCTCCCGGGAGCTACAGGACATGCTCCTACACAACCCATCCCCGTCTCGCCAGTTCTGAGCTTATGCCCAACACCTCCAGAGCCTCGATAACCGGTACCGTCAACACCAGAAGCAAATCAACCGTACCAGGCCCAACCACACCGCGCGAGCACAGGCGCCAGCCACCTCCCCCAGTACAACCCCTGAATCACCGAGAAGTGGATCCCCGCACCCTACCAGAAGCCAGAACCAGGGCGACCCCATGGACCTGAGCGCGCAGCGCACGCCCCGACCGAATGGGCGGAGAGAACGAGGAGAGTGCTACCGGTGCGGGTCGAAGGACCACCGGGTCGCTCTTTGCCCAGAACCTGACACGCGTCCCCACATACAAGCCCGTACCGCCAGAGCCGAACGATCGTTCAGCCCCGACACCGACCGATCTCTGAGCCCACCATCTACCCCTTCAGCGTCGGTAAATGGGGCGAGTCTGGGTTAAGTCGCCTCCAGACTCCGATTCCCTGCGCGAATGAAGTGCCGACACCTAACGACGATGGGTGTTTGGACTCTACGCCAGCCCAACCGACTGGAAACACTCGAAGGAATAAAGCTATCCGGACACTACGAATCTCTGCCGCATCCGTACGAGGTCTCTCTATCCGCGAGGAGGAGGACCTACGATCGAACCTGATGATCCTGCCTGTTACCCTAGAGAGTGGGAAGCAACGGCTACCCACTTACGCCCTGACCGACACCGGAGCCCAAGGGAAGGGCTTTATTGACCAGAGCTGGGCTGAGGCCCATGAGCTGCCCCTTAAAAAGCTGCGAAGACCGTTCGCGCTGGAGGTCTTCGACGGCCGTTCGGCCGAAAGTGGGAACGTCACCCACTATACAGCCATTGGCATGAGGGTTGCCGATCACTATGAGAAAGAGATCAGACTCTACGTGACGCAACTGGCCTACTACCCCGTCGTCTTAGGTATGCCGTGGCTGAAGGAGCACGACCCGAGGGTCGGCTTTGCGAGCCATACATTTACCTTCGAGAGCGACTATTGCCGAGCGAACTGTAACACCCCAAGTCGACCGACCAGGATCAAAGCCTTACATGACGTACCAGAGAGAGCGCGCCCAAGCTATCTACCTCCACGCCCCGCCGGGCTGGAGAACATCAACATCGCGGTCGTATCCCTCCGAGCTTGCTCAGAGTACATCCGTAAGGGTTATAAAGTGTTCTCTGTCACGATCGAAGACATCGATCGCCAGCTGTCCCTACCTGAACAACCAGACCTGACGAAACTGCTCCCGCCCGAGCTCCTGGACTTCCAGGACGTTTTCTCCCCCAAGGAAGCCGACAAGCTGCCGCCGCACCGACCGTACGACCACGAAATCAAGCTGATCGAGGGTAAGACCCCGCCCTTCGGACCGCTGTACGCTATGTCCCGCACCGAACTGCAAGCCCTAAAGGCTTGGCTGGAAGAGAACCTGAGGAAGGGATTCATCCGCCCGAGCGCCTCTGCTGCTGCATCGCCCGTCCTGTTTGTCAAGAAGCCAGATGGAAGCCTCCGCTTTTGCGTCGACTACCGGGGCCTGAACAACATCTCGGTCAACGACCGCTACCCGCTACCCCTGACGAAAGAATCCCTGAACAACCTGAAGGGAATGAAGTACTTCACCAAGATCGACATCATCTCTGCGTTCAACAATATCCGGATCAAGGAGGGCCAGGAGTACCTCACCGCATTCCGAACGAGGTTCGGCCTCTATGAATCATTGGTTATGCCATTCGGGATGACCGGAGCCCCTGCTACGTTCCAACGGTTCAGTAGAGCTAGCTCGATCGGGATGGTCCTCAGGTGTAGCGTCTACTGCCTTGTCGGCGACATCGACAGCGCGGTTGAGGTCATCCATCGCTGCGGTCCGCTCAAATCGACTGCCGAGCCAGTTTCCAAGGTTGTTCAACAGAGCAGCCCGATCGGGATGGTCTTTTCACACAAAACAGGTTTGGAGGATCTCTAGATAAGATAAGAACACACCGGCCCTCCGAAGTGGACCTTGGGGCTATGAAACTGGATCACCACTCTCAGGCTTCCTCTCTTGTCACATTTTGATCTACCGACTCTGTTTTGCGCGACTAGTTCTCAACGATATCTTCCGCACGTTCATATCAACAGTATGGATTTCTCCTCCTTCGTAAAGTACAATGAGAAAGATGTCATGTAGGAATTACCTCCCATCACTCCCAACACGACTCGGAGATTCCGGACCAGCCGCTGACATGGTATCCGACTTCCAGCCCCGAGACCCCTCATCTCTCAATCAGCCTCCGCGCCCCCATCGAACTCTCGATTATCGGTGCTGTTCCATACCCGATCCATTTCACTATTCGGCGCGTGGCAAAAGGGGACGGGACCGATTCCCGTCCCTGCATCTTCCGCTTCGATCCTTCCGTCGACGCCTTCTCTCCTCCCTCTGGCCTCATCCTGCTGCGTCATCGTTGGAGCAGCGGCGGCGGCGGCCTTGAGGCTGTCCCAGTCAACCATGGGTATTGTCACTCCGCCGGCCAACAAGACAGCAGTCAGTTCTTGTGGGAGCTCGCCGCCCCTGGGGACGAGGTCAGCCTGACGGCGACGCTGCCCGAGCGGTACTTCCGTGCTTTGGAGGACAGTTGGCATACGTTCACGCTGCTGTATCCTGGAACGGAGTTCCTGCTGTGGGACTGGGGTACGGCACAGGAACGTGTTGGCTGGGTTTCGAAGGGGACTCGGAAGCTGGTGGTTCCCGGCGGCGCGCGCGTCAACTTTGCGGCGGGACACTTCAGCGAGTATCGGACAGCTGACCCGCCTTGGTTCAACCCGCCTCCTCTGGTGGAGCCGTCGGATAGAGTGTGAGTAGTATTCTTATCTCCCTTCCGACAGCCCTTAAAGCAGTCATTACTGGTTTTAACATTCCCAGTCCTGGCGCACCATACTTTACAGTGACAGTCACGGGCCCGACACTCGTCAAGAGCTACGAAAATCTGAAGTTAACGCTTCGTTTCACCTATCACGGAGTTACAGGAACCAACGGCAGCCTTCAGGGGTCTCCTACACCCTCTGTAACGTTCCATTCTTGGGTACTTACCGAGTCACCAGATTTCGCTGTCCAGGTACAGAGACGTCGGGCCGGTTCCGACTGGGAGGACTGCCAGATTTACGAAGAATATGTCTGTGGATGGATGGTCTATGACGAGCCTGACGTGAAGGTGTACGTCGGGCAGCAGAGCGATGACTTTACGAGTCTGAATCCCGGTGAATCTTGGTTGACGACCGTGTCTGTGACCGAGCGGCCGGATATTTATTTACCTCGAGACTCGATGCCTGGCGATGTATTTCGTTACCGGGTGAAGAGGTCGGAGGCAGACTGGTGGGATTGGGGTACTATGGAGGAGCATAGAGAGACTGCGCTGATGCTGCCGTGTTTCATCAAAGCGAAGGTGACGGACCCCAAGGATAGGGGGGGACGTCCGAGGTTGTTAGTGCCGGCGTCGGAATGGTTTGAGTTTACGCTCATAGAGTAAATAGAGGCTGGAAATGAGGAGCGGCGGAAACAAAAGGGGCCTTGAAGCCAGGAAAAACACCGTCCCTGATTCACTCCGTATCCAGAGGACTCGAGTCATCAGCGACTCTATGACTCTCACCTCGAATCAACGGCTCCCTCTCGCTCGCGGCCGTCGCGCTCTGTCGGGAACGGCGGACGGCAATCCACAGCAGGACAGCCTGCACAACAGCGAAAACCGCATGATCTACCGGGACGAAGCCCACGCACTGATACCACGTCGCGAACATGACGCCAGGACCAGGCCACCGCAAGCGCCACAGCCACGACAGGGCGAGAAGCGCAAAGACGACGGCCTGCGCCGCGAGGCCCTCCAGACTCAGCGCCCGAGCACCGTCGGGCCCTATCGCGGGCGCTTGCGCCCCCAGTGCGGCAGCGGCCAGCATGGTCGTGACGGGCGTCAGGAGGAAGGCGTGTGCGCCCTCGAAGAAGGCAATGAGCCATTTGCGGTCCTGGTCGTAGGGGTGCTGGTCGTGCGGGGTGGCGGCGTCGGCAATGATCGGTGCCGCCGAGATGACGAGGTACAATGTGGAGAGGGCTATGGCGGCAGCAATATGACGGCCACGACCCGGTGGGGAGAAGATGATGGTGAGGGTGAACCTGGGTCAGGGAATCGCGGGTTAGTTAACCTGGACGTGATAATATGAGGGGCACCCGTCCTTTCTTTGCTTTGCTTGCACACGTACGTCAAGAGCCACAGCAGAAAGATAACTGCGAGCTGGGCCAGATTGATCCAGTCGCCCGAGTCGGGAGGTTCATTGACGAAGGTAACGGAGCCGACATCGGCCAGTGTAATGACGAAGAAGGCGGCGACCGTGACCAGTTCAATTGAGACGAGCAGGTTCAAGAGCACATAGTACAGGCTGAGGCCCGAGCTGTCGCGTCGGACAAGGAGAAGGCGGAGCTGCGGGATGAAGGATAGAATGGATGCCACGAGCAGGATTCTGGTGGGGAGCGAGAAGTTAGTGAACCGGAAGTTGAAACAGGTAAACATGATACGAGCAGGGACATAACGTACATTCGAACCGCATTGGGGAGCGTCATTTTGGCAAGACAAAGGGCTCTCTCTAAAAAAGCTAAATGGTGCTAGAAAGCCAAGTCAACCAAGTCAATGCCGTTCTGGGGGAAGAGAGAAGAGATGTTTTCCTTGCCATGACAGTTGAAAGTCTGGGATTGGGAGGATGAGTCAGGTCGCCGCTCGCGGGGCTGATGGAGCTTGTGGGCCCTAACAGGGGTACAGTGGGTACAATCTAACCCTGATTTGCTTCGTAGTACATCCGTACAAGACCTCAGACCGGGCCCCTGTCCAAAATTCACAGATATTTAGTTAAACAGCCAAAAGCCCGTTTTCAACCCTGAAAAATACAACTACCAGTGAAAAATGTCGAGATGAATTTCATTTAAGTGATTTCTCTGTATCAAAATATGTTGTTGTTCCGTTGAGTTCGAGATTTTGAGATTAGGACCCTTGTCGTGGTCTCGCGCTACGAAACAAACTAGGGTCAGATTGTAAGGGTAAACCAACAGCTTTGGCAAGCTGCGCCAATCAGGGCTCCCTGTCGGTACCCACATAGGGCCCGATAATTACACAGTACCCATCATACAAGCAGAAAGGCGGGCAAGTATTGGATGTTATCTAGCTCTACTAATCGGTAACAAAATGGAGCGAATCACGGCAAACAGCTGTTGATATAGTATTCATATAATTGCAGTGTATATCTTCGAAAAAGTACAAGTTGACAGGGACCGAACAAGTGAGCGATGCTAGAAACACCTTTTTACTAGGAGGGTGGCTGCGCGCCTGTTGGTCTAGACATCACCCTTGACCCACGTATGCCAAGCCTTGCGACCGGGACTCAAACAGCAGGCGGGCCGGGCCGGATTTTTTTTTGGCGGCCTCTAACTTATCTCCCACTCCGAACACCGCACATACGTCTTTTGTCCGCACCACAAGCGCCGGTCGACTAACAGACAGCGACCCCTGAAGAGCATTGCATCAATGGGAACACAAGGCAAAAAGTATCCGTGCGGTGTTCGGATCGTGTGAGATCTTACGTAGGTATTTGCGCAGTAACCTGTTGGGCTCAAGGTGGGCGGGTCTACGGCCCGGTACGTCAAGGGGTACGGTCCGATTCGGCAATGACGACCACGCCGTTGCCAGAGCCAGTTTAAGCGAAATGATTAGCGTCGAGCTGCGCGTGAAGTCAACTCCTCGGCGACCTGACAAATTGAAGGGGTTGGGTGGCGATAGGTAACTTATGTTGGTTGGAGATTGAGCCCCTGGTCGTCAGTGAGCGGGGTCGGGAGGATGCTGCCTGGCTGCGAGATCTTCGTGGTTGTGGGGCTGACATCCCAAAAGAGGTTTAAACTCCGTAATTCTACACCTCCGCCGGGGTTAGTATTGCTAGCGCGGTACAGCCAAGCCACTAGTTACATAAGATCCAAAAACCCCTGTCAGGGCCCCATTTCTCAGTATCGAATTGTCTCCCTAACTGGAGCCTCTTTGGCATTGAGTGAGCTAGTTCCAGTAGGAATTCCTCTGGTACGGCCTCCCAAGCTTCCTGTATCTTAGCTCTCAGCTCCAGCAGCGACAGTTTCTGGATATTACAGTTATGCTCGATCCAATTCTTCATCCAGTGCCACACATTCTCAATGGGATTTAGATCTGGGCTGTTTGCCGGCCATCGTAGTACTTTAATTCCCATCTCCCGAAGAGCTTGTTGCGTAAGCCGTGCTCTATGGGCCAGACCGTTATCTTGTTGAAAGAAGATCTCATCGGCTTGCGAGCGGACGAAAGAGTAGACCATCGGTAGAATGAAGAAGGTATACTTATGTGCGTCGATCCCACCTTACTCCTTCTCCCAGAAGAACGACGGTCCTTTTCGCCGGCCGGCAAAGGAACCCCAGAACATCCAACCCTGTGGACTCCTTCGTGAGAGAGCCCACGTCTCTGGCGACTCTGTGTCATGGATGGTAATGTTGGAACCTGCAGGGCGACGACCGCTGAGATATGCGTTGGAAGAAGCTATTCCCAGTCAAAGCAGTGTATCGATTTCTTAAGGTGGTAAAAAGTGATTGATTTTTCATGCTGTTGATGGGCATGGGAGAGGACTAAGTATGTAAGGAAGAGGGGTTGCAGTGCTGGCACCAATCAACCACCGAGGTCCGTTGAATGCAGCCATCAAGGCAGCTTCGTTCCGACACACCCCCCCAGGTTGATACATGTCCAGTATCAGCCTGACCCAGTTGAGGCTATTCCCGCCTCCCAGTTCGGCTCTGCACTGGGCATTCTTGGTGTTGAGGGGCACCTCGGCATTACTCTTCCTGTTCTTGCCCGGCCTTGTCCAGGCCGGCTAACTGGGCGTCCCTTGCACTGATGAGGCTTTTGATGCCTACCAAATTCAGCATCGTGATGAAATTTTGATGTTTTCCGTAGCTTAGAGCCTTCGTCAATCCATCTGCAACCATACCGTTGGTCGGCTGGTAAACCACCCGAATTCTTCCTTGTTGAGCTTCTTGACGTAGCCAGTGGTTGTGGATATCCACGTGCCGTAGTCTGGTCTGCAGGGCGGCCACCTCTGCGTTCACTAGTCTGATCGTTTGGCTGTTGTCGCACTGAATCGTTAGGGCGGCTTCGTCCTGGATTGACAAGGCCGTCAAAAGTCGCTGAATGAACAAGCCTTCCTTGGCTCCCTGTGCTAAGGCCAGCAATTCGGCCTCTGTTGTCGATGTGGTGACCGTATCCTGCTTACTGGCCCTCCACGCGATCAATCCTCCGAACAGCGAAATGGCGTATCCTTGGGAGCTCTTGCGATCAAGGCTGTTGTCCGCAAAGGACGCGTCTGTCGCCACAACCAGGGAGGCATTCCCACCCCCCAATTGTAGGGCCAAGTGCCGGGTGCCCCGGAGGTAATGGAGCACCCGGTCCGCAGCCGCATGGTGGGCTGGACTAGGGTTGTGGTTGTACCTTGCAAGTCTGGATACTGCGAATGCGATGTCCGGCCTGGTGGTGACGGCTGCGTATAGCAGCGAGCCGACCTTTCGTTGATATCGGCCAATCGATGCCAAACTAGTGATGCCCTCGTGTGGCAGCAGTTCTTGTGCCGTTATCGGGGTCCTTGGGTGCTTGCGTGCCTTTGTTTGAGCCAACCGAGCAATCTTGTCGACGTAGGCTGACTGGCTCAACCAGATCAATCTTCGTCGCCTGTCGCGATGGATATCAATGCCAAGGAACCATTGCAATTGGCTCCCGCCTGTGAGCCGGTATTTGGAGCGAAGGTTCTTGATGACTTCGTCTGCGCGTTGTTGGTCTTCCTTACGGTGAGCGATGACGATGTCGTCCACGTAGTAGAAGATCAGGATGCCGCTGTCGTTGTTGATCAGGATACAGGGTTCCTGCGGCACTGCTTCGAATCCAAGGCTTGCGAGTGTGGCCGTCAGCTCCTTTTGCCAGAGCAATGGCGACTTGCGTAAGCCGTATAGAGCTTTCTGAAGCTTCAAGACGGCGCCGGGCTTCCTGTAGCCCCAAGGCATCTGGATGTATATATCGTCGTCAATGGGTGCGTTGACGAAGGCGTTGACTGCGTCGAATTGCGTGAGCTCGAGGTCGTATCTTGCTGCGATGGCCAGCATTGTTCTAAACGACCGGGCGGCCAACGTGGCTGCGTAGTTGTTTTCGGTCAACTGGCGATGCTGTTGATCGCCTCTGACAACCAGCCTCGCTTTGCACTTGCCCAGATGCCCAGTCTTACTGCATTTGTAGGTATATACCCACATACAGTCAAGAACCTGATGTCTGCGAGCCTCCTTGCGCGGCACTTCCTTCCAGGAATCCATCTGCATATGGCTTGCAAGGTGGTCGACCTCTGCTTGTTTGAACAGGTCGCCAAATGGATGACTGTCAAGCTGGTTATGCCGTTTTGGTTCCGGTGGAAGTCTTGACTGGTGGATGGTTTGAAGGCCCCCTGGTTGCTGAATCAGACGATTGATCTCTGCCTTGGTAACTGGGCTTGATGGCTCTGTCGGCTGCGGTACTTCCCTGCCTACGGCCATCTGACCGGGCGATTGAGGTCTGTTGGCGAGGGTGCCTGCTGCAAAGGCTGCCTTCCACGGCTCGAAAATGCCAGGGACAGAGGTGCCGGGGCCGGTTGGTTCTTGTTGGTTGATACTGAGGCCTGCGAAGGCGGCTACAAGCAGTGCGGCTGGAGGCGTTGTTGGAGGTGTTGGATACTGGAATTCAGTGAAAGTGAAGGACTCGTCGCCTTTGACCACAATGGTATCCTGAACGACGTCGTCGTCGTTGTTGGCTATGTGGACCACGTCTTCGTCTTCCTGGTTGCCTTCAGGGGTCAAAACTTCGTCGTCTTCTTCCTGGGGACTGGGTTGCTTATTTCCTTGGTTGTTGAGCCACTTCTTGAGCTGCTCGAGGTCCACCTGCGCCAAGTCGTGGGCCAGGACCTCTGCCCTGCCAGGAAAGGTTTGTCGCTCGTCAAAAGTTACATCCCGGGTCCGTACTACTTGGTTGGTAGCCGGGTTCCAGATGCGGAAGATGTTGGAAGAATCGTATCCAACGAGGTATCCTACCCATGCCTTGGGCCTCAGCCGCTCAAGCCTCCTTTCTTTCTTTAAGGCGGTCATCGTCATTGCATAGGCCTTACAGCCGTAGACTTTCAGATGGCCCTGATGTGGTTTGAACGACGACTGCGTGCTGTTATTCAGAGCCGTATGGAAGCGTTCGTATGGCGATTTCCACTTGTTGATCAACTTGGGGGTCCTGTTGTGGAGGTAAACCGCGGCTCTGGTGATTTCCGGCCACAATTCCCACGGCAGGTTTGAACCCGTAGCCATGGCTCTGGCACGCTCCTTAATGACACCCCCCGAGCGTTCGGCGCCTCCGTTCTGTGCGGCTGTCTCTGGTGCGGAAGGCTCCATCCGTATACCCTGCTGGGCACAGAAGTCTTGGATGGTTGATGACTGGGCGAATTCGTTGTCGGTTTCAAGGACCTGGGGCTGTATTTTGTGTTGCCGTTGGAAAAGATTGAACA